TATTGACAGCTGCTCTTTTAATAACGATGGAACTCATTAAATTTACTAACCTTATCCCTGGTCAGTTGTAAAAGTTCTAAACTTCTAAAACAACAAAAATTGTTATAAAAACATATGTCTGTAAAAAATATGAAAGTCCCATAACTTAAGATTACAATTATAAAAAAAATATGGTCTGCACTTTATTTTAGATTTTCAACTAATGATGAATTTTACAGGGGTTTGCTCGAAAAATTCTTGGACGATGGCAATCTTCGTTAAACTACTATCAAGAAATTCAAAATAAGAACGAAATCTCGTGACATATTATGTGTTGTATTGATGTGTGATGTAAATTCCTTTCGATTTCATAGAAATCAATTTACTTTATTATACAATCATCACTTTTTGTGACCACGGAGCATACTTAATGCCAATCTAACATAGCGTCCAGATCTTCTTAAAAGACTATCCCACCATGCATTTCACACAGTATAGTTCAATAATTACCCATTAAAACCCTCTCTGTAGCACATTTATTTTTCTAACTATTGTTCTCGTTCTATAAGGTCGTTTGTCAATGTTTTAATTTCTTTTACCAACTATCTGTGCTTTCACAAGATCAGCGACTCAGTAACTCTGAAGCGCTTATGATTGTGCATGATGTTCCAACTTGTAAAAAGTTTTGTTGAGATTTTATCAGATAAACAGTTTCTTAAGAGATCGTCCTCGTCCAATACAGAGACGATGTCACTCAAATACCGCCTGTACCATTTATAAACACATGCACAGCTTACTTATGACAGTGACATTTTCAGAGTTTAATCAGATTTTCATTTTTTGCATAACACAAAATTGCATTGATATCTGCCTCTCCGTCAACGTCATCCTTTTTGTTGCTTTCTATGAGGACCACCTACATGTATCTTCTCAAACTAATTTCTTTTCAACGAAGCGAAATATCAAGCTATGATTTGGAATGTAACAGTTCTTAATTTTGAAGTGTAGGATTTATTTCCTTTTTTGTTACATTTTACAGCGTATATATATATGACTACAGAAATTATCTTAATTATTTACTGTGTTGTCTGTCAATTACTAAATTTTGATCTGCTTCGCGGTCCGATGTTTGTAGTTTTTAATTCTGAATAGGTCTGAAATAAATTAGGATAAAATTTTATAACAAATCTTTGAATTTGTTGTAAAAATATTTTTACCAAGTTTGGATAGCATATGACGTTAAATAAAAAAAAGATATGGCAGGAGTCCACTGACAAACCCTCGTATTTAAACTGTTTTTGTATTTTAAATGCCAAGATTTCGCCACCTTGAAATCAATTTTCCGCTGGGGATTTTGTCCCTCTGAATACCCAAAACAAAAATATACTATAGTAAACTATAGTTAACTATAGTTTACCATAGTAAATCAAATTCCAACGTTTTCACTATAGTTATTCAAAGTTCCAAAGTTTTCTCCATAGTAAATCAAAGTTCCAAAGTTTTCGCCATAGTAAATCAAAGTTCCAAAGTTTTCACTATAGTAAATCAAAGTTTCATTGTTTTTACTATAGTAAATCAAAGTTCCAAAGTTTTCACTGTAGTAAATCTTTTTTTTTTGTATTTTGTTTTGTTAAGGTTTTTTTATCATTATTATTCTGTTTTTAAGGGGGATGATATTGGTTTGTTTAGGCTGGTTTTGTTGTTTATCTTAATTTAAATATGCACAGTAATTTACATTTAACAGTAGAAAAAAAGTTATCTGAAGTCAAAAAAGCAAATATTTTGATTCTAAATGACAGAATTTTTCTCTTATAATATTTTTCCCCACACATAATAATAAATATTGCTTATCTATCGGTGCAAGAGACAATTTGTACATTAAAATTCATTTCTTGTCTTTCGTTCTATTATGAGACAGGTCGTATTTTTAAACGTTCTCTGAAACTTAAATGAATCTTTTTCTTGAAATTTCTTAAAATGTACTGAATGGGAAGCAGAAACATAATTTCAAAGGTTTCATAGCACTTAATCAAAGTTCCAAAGTCTTTACTATAGTAAATCAAAGTTCCAAAGTTTATACCATAGTTATTCAAAGTTTCAAAGTTTTTACCATAGTAAATCACAGTTCCAAAGTTTTCACCATAGTAAATCACAGTTCCAAAGTTATTACTACAGTAAATTAAAGTTCCAAAGTTTTTACTATAGTAAATCAAAGTTCCAAAGTTTTCACTGTAGTAAATCAAAGTTCTAAAATTTTAACTTTGGTACTATAGTTAACTATAGTTTACTATAGTATTTGTTTGCTAGGGCGACCACTCTAGGATACCACAGTCCCGAACCCACTTTTTGGCGGCCCTTAATCTGCCCTATATAGGGTAATTTATACCTACATGTATATTCCATCACAGTTGACAGCGACAATATTGATTTTTTTCTGAAGAAATCAAACTATATTTGCCAACAAAAGGTAACATGGTTGTAAATTCTTCAATTAGGGGCCAGCGGGAAGGATGTGACCACAATAGAGAATGAAATCATAATATGAGATTCTTTTCAAGAACGTGGACGATCTGTTATCAGTTATACAGACACAAATCTTTGGTACGAAAAAACGTGGCTGTCTTTGGTACGGAAGAACGCAGGCAGGCTTAGGAAGGCGTTTTTTGGTGTTTAAGCCGTTTAAGGATTTTAATTATGAAACCGACAGTGGGAGGTTTCTATTTAAACACATAAGAAATATTATGAAAACGACACCTTACCAACTTAATATGTAAGTAACAAGACTCCTTTATTCAGGAGAACGGATCCGGATTATCTTTTCTGCATCGGTTTTAAACGTTATAATAACATTGTAAAGTCAAAGATCGGAAACTGAAATTAAAGACATACAAGAAACATTTGCTTTTTAATTGTTATAAAACAGACTTATATGTTGGCTTTTTGTTATTTTGATTTATTTACGTTTTTTGGTGACACGCGACAGTTTAAAGCATTTTGTGTGTTTTTTTTTAATTTCATTAGGTTCATTTGAGGATCAATTGAAATGTTTCATTCAAAAATGTAGAGAATACTAGAGTTATTGAGCAAAATATTCTCAGATTATTATTATTATTAGATACAAAGGGATACAAAACAATGTTGTATAGTTCCTTTACGAGGAAGCATTGCCAAAAGAAATTCATCACCCAGACACATCAATCACGCAATCATGCTCAGGATCTGCACGGGATGCTACTGGTGATCAAAGGTCTTGTGTCACAAATCTGAATTCCTCTGAATTTGAAGGTTCAAACAACTCTAACGAAAGATCCTGAAGAGAAAACGTCAAATTATCAGCTGTTGAAGTCTTTAATTAAACATAGACCATGTTCTGCCTAACACAGGATGAGGAATCATGTTCCATTGATATACTACATAATGGCACGACGAGATCAATGAATGTCAAGGTCAATGAGTGTTTCCTGTCAGTAGTAGATTATAGTTTATACATCGTGCTAAAGGGTCTGTGCATGATAGACAAAGAGCCAGTGGACCAAAGGGAACACCTCAAAGATCAGAACAGATTGCATCCGCACTATTGCCTTGAGAAATCGTCTGGTAATGGCCAGGGATGGGGTTATCATAGTCAGTAATCGTAATCAGCTGTAATCGATTACAGTTTGCTAAGTAATCATGAGTAATCAGTAATCACCCATTTTTCTGATTACAAGTAATCGTAATTTAATCGATTACTCTGAAAAAAGTCCTGTAATCTTGATTACTTTTTGATTACTTTATGATTACAATTATTAAAACAAAGTTCATTGAATCATGATTTTTGATGATATTCAGTGAGCAAAAAATATTATATAATTATAAGCTATTTTTAGTTAGGTATTGATAATTGGTAATGGCACATCAGATAAGAGCTCAACTTGAAAGGAATAATAGCTTGTTGAAGAGAGTACAGACCGTCAAAAGTCGACAGCACAGATTTCACTTTCACGCCCTACGTCCTCGTGGCATTCCCTGCTTGTGGACCGGACTCCAATAGTAGCTTCCCTATCAGTCCTGTGCTACAACGCACCTTGCCAAAAATGACACTCTTTGAAAAAAAAACAAACTAAGCTAAATTTGGAACAAAGTCAATGTACTTTAATTTTTTTAAAGAGCGTTTATATCTACCATGTAAACGCACGTTGTAAAAATGTATACGACTCGGTCAATATTTTTGTACAACTTAAATTTATGTTAACACCTGAATATGACTCGTTAATAGACATACATCATTTTGATATTACTATCGAATTTGAAGGAACTTTGAGAAATCTTGACATCATAGAATTTTGAAAAAATCAGCAGCATAAATCATTATTCACTCACAAATTAAGTACATGTATCTAAAAGAAAAAAAACCAACTATATGTGCTTTAAGAAATCCTTATATTATGTAAAAAAAAAACAAAAAAAAAAAACATGTGTTCTTTTAACTTGAAAATAAACATACATTGATACATGTATATGTTAACATAAAAAATCCTTGCATATTTTTAAGCAAGAAATCGCATTATTTCTGGAAGGAGCACATGACTGACTTAATCTTTTTACATGGGATGCTTACTTCTCCGATGCACATGATCCCACTTCTCTTTTTTTTAAAATAGTATATGTTTTTTTTCCAATTCTCTTTGTAACGATCCAGTTTTGACCTCGAAAAAACTAGTATTTGTTTTCCCCATATTTCAATTAGGAAGGAGATTTGCATCGTAACTATTGAAATGTCAAATATTGAGAAGAATGACAAAAACCCAAAGACATCCAAAGCACAGAATCCCCTCGCAAATAACATTTATCAATCAAGGTACCGTTTGAAATCGATCCCTATTCAAAGCACTAAAACAAACTAAGGCATACACAGGAGGTCGTGACCTTATCACCTCCAAGTTTGTTACAAGTGTTGAAGCTCTTTCTCACACGTTAAAAAAATTCATAGCAATAATCACAGTTATGTTGATTATTTATTATTTTAATTAATCAATAAATTAATAAATCAAAAAGCCAGAGAAATGAGTATGGTAGCAACATCCTACTAGAGAATGTGTACCCGAAACAGCGTCAATCTGGACGAAGATTTCGTCACCTCTAGACAATGTGACGGCCACCATCTCTGTTCTCTTCAGGTAATAGTCATGATTTGAGTCCAGAAATAAATAACCGATTGTGCCTCCATTTCTTTTCAGTAGAAGATGCAGACTATGACCGCCAGGAGAGGATGGAACTGTCCCTATCATGGAGAACATATAGCTACCATCCACCGGGGCCCGGAAAACACCAGTGACGTTGCTGTACGCATGCCCGACATTGGTAATGGTGTCATCAAACACGACGATGTGTCCATTAGCGGGGTTATTTAAAGTCTTACTGAGTTGACTCATGAAAACAATTGGTTGGTGGGCTACAAACAAAATTTTCAAACTATTCTGTAATTGATTACAGTCAAAAAACCGGAATAAGGGTTTTTTATTTGCCTCCAATTTTCAAGAAAAGAAATATTTTGTAGTGAAACATATGGAAATAAGGAAAAATATTCAAGTCTATCAAACAAGAGAAAACAGGAGAAGAACAAACACAGACCTCCAATTAGGGAATAACTATATTCTTTTAATTTGTAATTTGCGACTGTTTATTTTTTAACAGTTGCAAACTGAGTTTTACAGGCGACCGGTAGAGCCGAGCAGGTAAAACGGTTGTTTGCCACCGTTAAATCAGCATTAACAGTATAAATTTCAATTTAGAAGATACTTATTCCAATCTAATGTAATCAATACATTTTGTTTGTTGGTTATATCTTATTTTCTTGAGTTCTGTTACATGAAATACATCATGGAGCATTGTGATTTTGCTTTGCTCTATTATTATATAACAATGAAAAGGCTTTCTCTCTCATTAGACGTCGCGCATAGAATTGGGACTGATTTTTTAACATCAAAATATACTTTTCTGACGTAATTGTACAAATGTATACGTCTTTTAGCGTAAAAACGTCAAAAATTAAGGCGTAACAAATTAGACTAGACATCCAATTTTTGCTCCTGTTTTCTTAAAAATGTCTTATTTTTAGTTTTTCTTTAAAAACAAAATTTTATTTATTTTGTACATTTTGAAAATAAGAGTTTATCTGTTTTTTTTTTCCAATAACTAGAGAATACAGCTCATATTGGTGCTATACGCCCGGTTAAATACCATCATACATATATTTGTGTCGTAGTAACAAAACCGACTTGACATCAAAATCGCTCTATTAATCTCTCCTACTACATGCTACTCAGCTATGTTAAGGAAGGTCAGAGTTCACATTCCTTACACATCGTATTGGAAGTTTAATTGTGACGTCATTGAAATTTAACAAGCCACAGGAATTAATTAACGACATGATCATGCGTAAATAACAACTTGAATTTATTTATTTTATCTATTATTAATAAAATCTTGTAAAATCGCAATACTAGATAGCGATACAGTCGAGTAATAGAAGAAAGCCTTTCGTCAAATATGACGTCATCAGCCTTGACATGACGCAGCACAAGTGAACCAGAGGACTAGATTCACTGGTTTAATAATTTCAAGAATGCTTAAATAAATATGATACCATTGCTAATTTTTAAACTTAATCATTAAAACTGAAAGAAAATAATTTATTAAATACAATGCGTATAGAATATGAATTTATCTAGGAGCATTGAAGCTGCACAGGGATAAGGAATGTAGAGAATATCGCTAAAACGGTGAGCGCATTCGTGATTTACATCAAAAGTGCAAGGGCATAGACTTTTTTGTTTGAGCTGAAATTTGGAATATTAATTGCTTATATAGTGTATATTTTAAAAAGTGCTGGGAGCTGATCCTGGTCTGCATAACATTAATTCTATTTATAAGAGAATTTAAGCGAAGTGGAAATTTTTTAGCTATTGTAAGCATTTACGGCAAAATTTCAAGTACTCCGCAAACAGCACTGACTAGCTCCCAGCACATTTTGGGTAGAGGATATAAACTTCTTTAAATGTGTATGCCCTTGCACTATCCCTATTTCCTATATTCAGCTTAACAATTCTATTTTTATACAAGTCACGTGACAAACAGCTGATACGTGCGATATAACTGATAATAACTACGGCCCAGTCCTATCCATTATTGATAGCTATATTACATTTTCTACAAGTATTTAGTTGCTTTGTTACAATTTTTAAAAGAAGTAATACATATTAAAACGGTGCAAAGGTCACATTTTCCATATAGATCCTTAACATAGCTGAGTAATATTTTTTAAAAGAAACTTTCGACTACCTCTTGATTTGCACATTTCATATATCACCTCAGTTTGACGAAAAGAACCTGTTATTTAGTAAAATAAGTTTACCAAACATTCCATCTAATTTTCTTGCTCGTCAAGATTACGGCATATTGTCGAATGCTTCCAATATTATGAACAGTCTGAGTCGGTCAGTATATTTGAAATCAATTAAATAATTTTGTGTGACATCATCAGAGGAAGTTAAAGAAGCTTGATACGAATTGTCAGAAAAATCCAAGCAGCCAAAACGATGAAATGACCAAAAATACTAACGCCCGTCGTTTAAAGTGTTACATGTTAAGCAATTTCGAACCCCAATACTATGCGCGATGTCTTAATACTCATTTTATTGCTATTTAAAACATATCAGCCATCCAAAATTTGTTTTTCAAAAACAATTGCATTGAGTGTTTGTTTTCTTGCACGAACCCTCCAGGTAAGGGATAGAAAACACAGCGAAATAGAGGAAACTCATACCCAACTAAAAAAATCATTTGATTTATCGCATTTATTATATGTTTTACACAGTTTTTATATAATTTGTATTCAAATTCACGTTTTTACTTCATCATATTTTCGCAACTACTGTGCCGGTTATAAAATATTACCAATATCCAACATATGATAAAAAGAATTTTCACACAGAAAGGTAATCGTTTGGTGACTTTTATACAGAAAAATCTTGGGTATATTCTCAACATCAACAAAGATATGTTTTATTTAATCGGGGGGGGGGGGGGAGGGGTATGCAAACGGTAAGAATGGGTAGACATATTATCTTGTTAATTAAGAGGATAAGAGGAGAATTAAGTTTACTTGAGTATTCAAATATTGTAATTTAAATGTAACCTTTATAATGACCTACATGTAATAGACTTGAAGAAACACATTGGAAGATGCTCGTGCATAGGTAACGTCGGTAGAACAAATCCTCTCTCCCTTTAACATAGCATATTTTGAATATCTTTAACTTTGAAATAAGTACATTGTCTTTCCGTCCTATTAGACCACATTAAGCATCACTTTAATGTTTCCATTTACAGCACACAACTTACCGGATTTAGACTCGAGGGTTGCCACTTTCTGCTCCAAAGTGACGACCTTTGACCTCAGTTCCTGAATCTCGTTCTGGAGAACATTGTCACTCACAAGCAATCTCTCCTCAAGTGACGTCACAGTACACGCGAAGAACCAGAATTGTATGAGAATACTTAGTACCTTCATCCTTAGAAAGACTTGATACAGGTAATTGTTTCTATTGCTATCAGAAGAATATCATTATCGAAGTCTCTTATCAGTGTTGACCCTTTTAATAAGTAACCCCTGTTCTGAAAACGTGCATTTGACATAAATTATCGCTGTGTTTTGATATAAAGTTATATTTCATGTACATATAATAATTGGTCATTCAGCATGGAATATTTTTACAATTAACGATTATTTATAAACACGTTTTATTACATGATACCTAGTTTTTTTTTTTTTGGCTTATTGTTTTAATAAAAGGATAAGTTTTCTTTGTCAAGATTAAGTAATGAAATAATTTCATTCGTTCAATCAAGGTTCTGTTTAAAATATTACAGACAAGAGTGTTTGGCTTTAAGAAGATAGAAACATCCATGTCTCCTGCATATTATTCAAAATTGTACCCTTCATGGTACCTCAGTCGGTGGAGCATTCGCTCAGTGTTCTAGAGGCCATGAGTTTGAATCTAACCTAACGCGATAAAAATTGGTAGCAATTGTTCTTTCGCTAGGCACTCCGCACTTGAAGTGCAAGTTGCGGGTCTTTCGAATAAGACCTTAAAAACCAAGCTTCTGCGTGTCAAGGCAGGAGTTTCCATGATAAAGTTTTCTCACTGCTCAATGACCCTATGCCAAATAAAGGTTAAAATTTGATGGCCATCAGCAGTATATTGTGAGGTCTCTACATCAGTTAAAAACTTCTCGAATGGGCCGTAAATCAACTTACGATCGATCAATCAAAACTGTAAATATAATAACAAAGTAAATTGTTAAATGGGAAAAAAAAACTTATAATTTGATTTAAAATATTTTGTTAATCTAATTCAAACATTAGGTTATACATACTTTGTCTAGATATAAATGGATTCGGTAGTTTCTGTCAAATGGATCCATTATTAAAGAATTTTTAAATTAAAAAAAAAAACATAAGATGACATAGACTCTATGTCAATCCCTTAATTACATCAATAATAATTTGTATGATTTGTGCCAAAGTAACATTTAATTAATTTTGTTTTACAAGAATTAATCTTTTTCTCATGTGCAATTGATTAAAAACTCTGATCAAAATAACCGGACTTTATTGGTTTAAATTTTGAAAGAACAAATTGTTTTTTTTATATAATAGCCTAACAATTAATATGACAAAAAGTCAGCTAGCATTTGACTCAATGATAGATTGATATGATGAAAATTAAGGTCAATGTATCAACTAAAGACCATATGATTTC